GATGGGTTTCCGGGGTTGACACCAAGTCTATCCAGCATTTATTTTGCTGATAGGGTCAGCTGATGTCTCTCATCCAGTTGGTACGATAATGTGAAAGTATGACATTCTACCTTACTGTACCAGTTTAGATACAAAGGCCTGCAAATGCCTAACACAGCAAGGTAAGAAGATAAGTGTCAAGCTGTTTATAAACGGGTGACAGATTACCGTTGGATGGCACATGTGGCTTTATGTCACCAAAACCACTACAGCCCGCTGTAGTGGTCATGGTGCTTAGAATGTCACTTCAAAGAAAACACTTGAACCAAATGTACATTAAGCACTTTGAGCAATTTGGAGTATATGATATTTTTACCACACTCCCAGAATACTGTGCAGCAATAAGCAAATCAACACATTTAGTTATTTACTAAAGGGTGAATTGTCTGGAAATCACCACAGGAATTGACAATTTAGGTTAACCCCTTAAGGACACATGACGTGTGACATGTCATGATTCCCTTTTATTCCAGAAATTTGGTCCTTAAGGGGTTAAATAGCTGAATTTAAAACATTGTCTAAGTCAGTTATGTTTTCATATGCCCTCATAATTCTAATTATATGGTGAATTTGCTACAATCAACGGTTTAGTAAATAACTTTGAATGTGCTTCTTAAAATCCAGATTCTAAATTCTGTTGCGTTTCTCTAGCAGAGAAAACGCTTTTGAACGGTTCATTTGATTCAAGGGGTTCATTCACAGACAACTGTTTCTGGCTTATCATATGATACACATATTTAAAAATGATGGCAATTATTATTGAACAATTCCAGTAATGGGACAATAAACCTCTAATTAGTTAATTGGAGTATTGCACATGGCAGAGTATTACGCAGGATACTGCACATGTACAGATACACATTTACAGTTCTCCTTCCTGTGACGTTGTGCATTTTTTTGCGTCTGCTGCGTCTGGTATGTAGACCTGTCAAGAGGCGAATATCTCAGGATATACAGAGAAGTCCGATCAACTTTCCTGGTCAGAAGCCAAGGGTTGTCAATCAGAGATTTCAAAGGATGACTAATTAACTCTGAGAAGGCTAGGCCATTTATACATTAGACTTTCCCAAGACCATAAAATCTGAGGAATATTTAAAAATAGAATTGTAGGGTAAATAACCGGAACCTTGGGGAAAAGTATCCTCAGGCTTGTGTCCCGGGAAGGCTGATGTAACCTCTTAGCATCTTTCTGAGGTTGATCAAATAATTCCATTAAGTTGGGTAGCTATTTGTAATAAAATCTAGACCCCAGGACATCCTTGAGAGTTCAAGGTATCTTCCTGCACCTTTTGTTGTTTAAATATTTTTACATCAATATCATCATTGTTATTATTAAAACAATAAAAGTGATGTGATCATAAAAGTGTTACATTCGCTGTGGAAACAGCAAAAAGGTCCACTAGACCACAATCTTAAAATTTTTGTTACAATTTTTCCTTTTTTTTCTGCTTGTAAAACTGTTCTAAATGTCCCTTCTTGCATCGTCAGGTGACTTTGTCTGTTTTAAAATAATACAAAAAATATAATATTTGTGTTTTCTATTTATATTTTTAGGCAAGAATGGGATAGTGTGACACTTGGGGCCTGGTTTTCACATAGTTCTGTTTAGCGCAAATGGGCAACGATTTATACATCACCATTCAGGCTGTTTGTATAGTTGGTTATGTGACAGATGCACTAAACACTAGTCACATAAATATTAAATGGCCTTAAAAGAAAAAAGAGGAACTCACAAATTAAAATAGAGGTTGCGTCTAGCGGCAATAGTAGAAGATGCAAAACTGACATTTTGTGAAAAACGTTAATATAATTTTGAAGCATATATTGCCTGACTGTTCTTAATAGCCCCAAATAGGTTCTTCTGATGGGAAAATTCGATTATTAGGAGGACAATTATGGTAACAGTTTGATATTCTCAACAGGTCAACAGGTGGAACATGTAATGAAATTGAACCCAAAATAGGCCTCGGATAGTGGAGTATTTCAGAAAATTGTGTATTTATATGAAAAATGTGGAAATGCACTCACAATTAAAGATCTACCGACTAGCTCAAGTTCAACAGCGTGTTGTAATATAATCCTTACAATAAAAAAAAAGGAGTAACCTGCGCACTAGCCCAAATACCTATGCATATTTGAATAAATAGAGGTTATTTAGTAACTCCAGTGGCCATTAGATGCAAGCCCACCTGCCACGTCAAGGCAAACCTCTTAGGTGGGTCCTGCACTAATAATCCACTTGGCTTCCCTCAGCTTCCCCTACATACTTATTAACCCCTAATAGGCTATTGAATACAGAAAATGTCCAATGGATACAAAGTCCAGAGGATTTTCTGTATACATATCTATCATTTTCAGTATTTCATGAACATAGATATTTTTATGAAATACTGATCGAGACTGGGTTGTATGTCAGACTACTTTGTCCTATGGACAAGCCTGAGGTTGACAAAAGGCAAAGCTCCACCATCAACTTTTGTCACCCCAGTGACAGCTGTGGGATTTAGCCATCTATCTATGGAGGCTCCTGGATTCTCCTGCATAGAGCTCAGGGTTGTACTCTGAACTGAAGCGCCAGAAGCTGAAGAGGACCAGCAAGTGGAAGACAGTGGTGGCCGCGAGGGTCAGCTTGAGGTAAGTAAAACTTACCTTCCACTGCAGCATGTGGCCACAGGACTAACAATGGATCTGTCACTTTCAGAGGTCCTTGCAAAATATGTGAATACCCTGGAAGTGATCTGCTCTAACAAAAACTTGCCCCCAAAACTCTACGGGGTTATTTACTAAAGTGAACTTAAAGCGAATTTCAAATTTAACATCTAAGTAGCCAAACTGGAAAAAATATTGGCTATGCTTCCAGTTTTTCTACTTTGGCTTTAAATTTAAAACTCACTCGGAATTCTCACTTTAGTCAGTAGCCTTGTCTAGTCTGTGCAGTTTGTCCCTTAGAGCATAATCTCACCTCCAGTCTTGTCAGGCTCGACCCTCAAATTTTATTTAATTTACCTTCCAACAAGCTTATTTTATTCATCCTAATATCTTGTATGTGTGTTTGAGCAGGTCCTACTTTTCTTCTTGTCTCTGTTCAATTTAGTTGTCATCATATCTACATCTTATCCCTCCCCATCACATCTACACCCTATCAATTAATCTATCCCTACATGCTATCTTTATACCCACATTTAATTTCTTCCCCCTCACCTTGTCTCATGTCATTCTCCCGAACAAATGGTTTTCTTTCCCTATCATTCAATCCCTACACCAGTGGTTCCCAAACCAGTCAACAAGGCCCACCAAGAGTCCAGGATCTATGTATTTTCCTGTTTTATTCCAATGGAGATACTGGTGGTGGGTCTTAAAGACTGGTTTGAGAGATGCTGAACTACACCATACATCCCTCATTCCACCCCAAATGCAAATCTTTAATCCCACTATCACTGTTTCGTCCAACTTCATTCCATTCAATCACCATTGAGCGCTATATAAATCAGCATTGAGCGCTATATTAATAATAAAATAATAACTCAGTAAAGCTAAACTCAAGAGGCAGCAATTGTCTAAAGCACCTGCCTTGCAAAGACGTCTCATTGAGCTGCATTGGGAAGACTGTGATTGGACAGCCACAGGAAGTCTGGGTGGGTCTAGAAGGGGAGGGCTTACAAATGCTTCAGACAAGGGGTTTGCAGCTTTTGCAAGCTGTTTTAGATATACTCACAATACAAAAATACATGATTAAATGCATGCATTGTTTTTATAAGAGTGTATCTACTAATAATGATTTTTTTAAATTCCGTTTTGCAGCTGTTCCTGTAGACTTGTAGACTTGCATGTGTGTGAGTGTGTATGTGAGTGTATCTATGCATAAGTATTTCCTGCAGAATTAAGCACCAGGCAAACTGATTGCTTAATCTTCGAGTGCAGGAAAAAAATAATATAATATATGTGAAAAGTGTGCGTGTGTTTTTACAGTTGACTAACGTGATAATATAAAAAACAGATGGTGAAGTAAATGCATCGAGGCTATCCTGAGTGTTCACTTTGGTGATGAGTGAGAATGTGCTACTTGAAGCCTGGAGGTTGCAGAGGTCAAGAGGCAGTTACAACCTGCGGATCATGTTTAAAGGGATGGCGTTTCACTTATCGTGTAAGCCACAGTCCAGATATTTTAATTGGTGGCTGTTTACTCAGTAACAGCAGGGACAGCACAGTAATATGCAGCAACATAAATTATTTTATACCAGGAATGAATGTTCGGTCCATTAACAGAGCAATATTTCAAGTAATAGGTTGTTTGAAATTGATAAATATTAAGACACCTTAACTTATGGTTTACCAATCGATTCCTGACACCTCTTAGAGGGAAATTGTGAGAAGCATAATTACTCATGGTTTGGATTACAAATTTGCATGTATCAACTATGTTGGGATGCATAGCTTCTAAATTCACTAGTGTTCATTCTGTAATTAAATAATATGTCACACTGTCTGGATAGAGGGTGTAGATATTACAGTCTGGTTTGAGACTGTAGATAGCTATGTAAAGTATCTAAATGGAGGCTGTAGATATCCATGTAAAGTGTCTGGATGGAGGCTGTAGATATCCATGTGATGTATCTGGATGGAGGCTGTTGATATCCAAGTAAAGTATCTGGATGGAGGCTGTTGATATCCAAGTAAAGTATCTGGATGGAGGCTGTAGATATCCAAGTAAAGTATCTGGATGGAGGCTGTAGATATCCATGTAAAGCAGGACTGCCCAACAAGTTGAGCCCCAGATGTTGTAGAACTACATCTCCTATGATGCTTTGTCATTGTAAATGCATTCTAAAGGCATACAAAGCAGCATGGGAGTTGTAGTTCTACAACATCTGGGGATCTACCTGTTGGGCAGCCCTGATGTAAAGTGTCTGGATGGAGGCTTTGGATATCCATTTAAAGTGTGTGGACAGGGTCTGTAGATATCATTGTCTGGATGAAGGCTGTAGATATCCATGTAAACTGTCTTGATAGACGTTGTAGATATCGTGGTCTGGTCGGTGGATGTAAATTTCTATGTAAAGTGTTTGGATGGAGGCTGTAGATATCATTGTCTCGATGAAGGTTGCATATTTCAGTGTCTGGGTGGAGGCTGTAGATATCATTGTCTCGATGAAGGTTGCATATTTCAGTGTCTGGGTGGAGGCTGTAGATATCATTGTCTCGATGAAGGTTGCATATTTCAGTGTCTGGGTGGAGGCTGTAGATATCATTGTCTCGATGAAGGTTGCATATTTCAGTGTCTGGGTGGAGGCTGTAGATATCATTGTCTCGATGAAGGTTGCATATTTCAGTGTCTGGGTGGAGGCTGTAGATATCATTGTCTCGATGAAGGTTGCATATTTCAGTGTCTGGGTGGAGGCTGTAGATATCATTGTCTCGATGAAGGTTGCATATTTCAGTGTCTGGGTGGAGGCTGTAGATATCATTGTCTCGATGAAGGTTGCATATTTCAGTGTCTGGGTGGAGGCTGTAGATATACATGTAACATGTCTGGAAGGAGGCTGTAGATATCCATGCAATGTGTTTGGTTGGAGGCTGTAGATATCAATGTAAAGTGTCCATTTGGAGTCTGTAGATATCCATGTAATGTGTCTAGATGGAGGCTGTAGATATCCATTTAAATTGCCTTGGTTGAGGTTGTAGATATCATTGTCTGGGTGGAGGCTGTAGGTATCCATGTAATGTGTCTGGATGGAGGCTGTAGATATCCATTTAAATTGCCTTGGTTGAGGTTGTAGATATCATTGTCTGGTTGGAGGCTGTAGATATCCATGCAATGTGTCTGGAAGGAGGCTGTAGATATCAACGTAGAGTGTCTGCTTTGAGCCTGTAGATATCCATACAATGTGTTTGGTTGGAGGCTGTAGATATCAATGTAAAGTGTCCGGTTGGAGTCTGTAGATATCCATGTAAAGTGTCTAGATGGAGTCTTCAGATATTCATATCAAGTGTTTTGGGGAAAGCTGTAGATATCCATATAAAGTATCGGGATAGAGGCTGTAGATATCCCTGCAATGTGTCTGGATGAAAGCTGTAGTCAGGGCCGCCATCAGAAAATTTGGGGCCCATGACAAAGCACAAGGTCTGGGCCCCCCCCCCCTCCCTACCTAGTCCGCTCACAATGATGCAGGACTGAATGTGGTGTGTGTATAGTGGAAGTGAATTAGAATGTGTGTAATGGATGTAGTGTTTGTGTGTATTAGATACTGTTTGTGCAATGAATGCAGAGTGTGTGTTTGTGTAGCGGATGCAGTGTGTATAGTGAACGCAGAGTGTTTTTGAGTAGTGGATGTAGTGTGTGTACAGTGATGTAGTGTGTGTTTGTGTAGTGGATGTAGTGTTTGTATGTACTAGATGAAATGTGTTTAGTGGATGTAGTGTCTGTAGTGTGTGTATTAGACGCAGTGTCTGTGTATAGTGAATGCAGAGTGTTTCAATTTGTGGTGGATGTAGTGTGTGTACTGTGAATACAGGATGTTTGTGTAGTGGATGCTGTGTGTACAGTTAATGCAGAGTGTATGTTAGTGTAGTGAATGCAGAGTGTGTGTCAGTATAGTGAATCCAGAGTGTGTGTCAGTATAGTGAATCCAGAGTGTGTGCATAGTTTAGTGAATGCAGAGTGTATGTTAGTGTGTAGTGAATGCAGAGTGCGTCAGTGTAATGAATGTAGTGTGTGTTAGTGCAGTGAATGCATAGTGTGTGTAAATTTGTAGTGAATGCAGAGAGTGTGTTAGTATGTAGCGGATGCAGAGTGTGTGTTAGTGTAGTGAATGCAGTGTTAATGTGTAGTGAATGCAGAGAGTGTGTTAGTGTGTAGCGGATGCAGAGTGTGTGTTAGTGTAGCGGATGCAGTGTGTGTTGCGTTAGTGTATGCAGTGTGTGTTAGTGTATGCAGTGTGTGTGTGTTAGTGTATGCAGTGTGTTGTGTTAGTGTATGCAGTGTGTGTGTGTGTGTTAGTGTATGCAGTGTGTGTGTTAATGTATGCAGTGTGTGTTGTGTTAGTGTATGCAGTGTGTGTATGTGTGTGTCAGTGTATGCAGTGTGTGTGTTGTGTTAGTGTATGCAGTGTATGTGTGTGTGTTAGTGTATGCAGTGTATGTGTGTGTTATTGTATGCAGTGTGTGTTGTTAGTGTATGCAGTGTATGTGTGTGTTTTGGTTGTATGCAGTGTGTGTGTGTTAGTGTATGCGTGTGTGTGTTGTGTTAGTGTATGCAGTGTATGTGTGTTAGGTGTATGCAGTGTATGTGTGTGTGTTATTAGTGTATGCAGTGTATGTGTGTGTTAGTGTATGCAGTGTGTGTGTGTGTTGTGTTAGTGTATGCAGTGTATGTGTGTGTTATTGTATGCAGTGTATGTGTGTGTTAGTGTATGCAGTGTATGTGTGTGTTATTGTATGCAGTGTGTTGTGTTAGTGTATGCAGTGTATGTGTGTGTTATTGTATGCAGTGTGTTGTGTTAGTGTATGCAGTGTATGTGTGTGTTATTGTATGCAGTGTGTGTTGTTAGTGTTGCAGTGTATGTGTGTGTTATTGTATGCAGTGTGTGTTGTTAGTGTATGCAGTGTGTGTGTGTGTTATTGTATGCAGTGTGTTGTGTTAGTGTATGCAGTGTATGTGTGTGTTAGTGTATGCAGTGTGTGTGTGTGTTATTGTATGCAGTGTGTGTGTTGTGTTAGTGTATGCAGTATGTGTGTGTTAGTGAATGCAGTGTATGTGTGTGTTATTGTATGCAGTGTGTGTGTTGTGTTAGTGTATGCAGTGTATGTGTGTGTTAGTGTATGCAGTGTGTGTTGTTAGTGTTAGGTGTATGCAGTGTGTGTTGTGTTAGTGTATGCTGTGTGTGTGTGTGTTATTGTATGCCGTGTGTGTGTTGTGTTAGTGTATGCAGTGTATGTGTGTGTTATTGTATGCAGTGTGTGTTGTTAGTGTGTGATCTGGGGTGAGGGGGAGGAAGGGGCATTTTAACATTAATTTTTATTAATTTAATTAAATGTTTCTCCCCCCTCCCTGCTTACCTGTGTCCAGGGAGGGGGGAGATTCCATCCCTGGTGGTCCGGTGGGGGGCCCCCGGCTCCCTGTTACCGCAGAGGGGGCCCAGGCAGCACACAGCTTCTCCTCCCTTCTCATAACTCTCGCGAGACCCGGTTACCATGGCAACGCTCCGCGGGTCTCGCGAGAGTTATGAGAAGAGAGAAGACAGGAGGAGAAGCTGTGTGCTGCCTGGCTGGGCCCCCTCTGCGGGAACAGGGAGTCGGGGGCCCGCGGCTGCACACATAGATAGCGATATGCGCTATCTATGTGTGCAGAAAGGGAAAGTGGGGCCCGGGACTGCCAGAGCAGTCCGGGCCCCCCAGGGCCGCCGGGCCCGTGACAACAGTCACGGTTGTCACCCCCTGATGGCGGCCCTGGCTGTAGTTATCCATTTAAAATGTGTGGACAGGGTCTGTAGATATCATTGTCTGGATGAAGGCTGTAGATATCCATGTAAACTGTCTTGATTGATGTTGTAGATATCATGGTCTGGTTGGAGGCTGTAAATATCCATGTAAAGTGTCTGGGTGGAGGCTGTAGATATCATTGTCTGGATGAAGGCTGCGTATTTCAATGACTGGGTGGAGGCTGGGGATATCCATGCAATGTGTCTGAATGAAGGCTGTAGAAATCGATGTAAAGTGTTGGAATACAGGCTGTTAACATAGAGAAATGCAATATTTCAAAGTGGGGTTTCGATAAAGATAAAAAGTGTCGATAGAGATAAGTTGCTGATATTGAAATAAAATGTCTCAGTGGAGGCTGTAGATAGCCATATAAAGTATCAGGATGGAGGTTGTTAATATTGTATTAAACTGTCTCCGCCGGGCCTCATTCTTCCCATCTTGCTGCCATCTCTTTCCCAGGTAAATGACGCACACACATCCAGCCACCCACCTAATATTAAAGAAAACGTAATTCATCAGACCAGGCAACCTTAGTCCATTGCTCCATGGTCCAGATCTGACGCACATGTCTTTCGGCTTTGGACATAGGTCATCATGGGCGTTCTCACCAGTCTACAACTATGCAGCCCCATGCACAGCAAAATGCAATGTACTCTGTGTTCTGACACTTTTCTATCACAGCCAATGTTTCATCAATTTGACCTACAGTAGCTCTTCTGTGTGATCAGACGCCCATGACCCTGATGCTGGTTCACTAGTTGTCCTTCCTTGTACCATTTTTAGCAGGTACTAACCACTAAACACCCCACAAGACTCTTTTTAAATTACCATTTTTTTTAAAATGATCTGGCACAGTCGTCTAGTCATCAGTATATGGCCTTAGTCTAAGTAACTCGAATATTTTCACTTGCCTATTTTTGCTGCTTCCAACATATGAAAGCCAAGAACTGTTTGTTCACTTGCTGCCTAATATATCCCACCCATTGAGAAGTGACATTGTAACTATATAACCAATGTTATTCAATTCACCTGTCAGTGGTTTTAATGTTGTGGCTGTTCAGTGTATATCACACTAAACAGTCTCATGGCTGTTAATGTTGTATTCAGGGCCGGACTGGCCCACCGGGATACCGGGAAATTTCCCGGTGGGCCGTCGGCACCTGGGGCCGGGCAGACAGCCGGCTCACCTGCGGCCGCAGAGGGAGCTCCCTTGGCGGCCGCAGGGGGAGCTGGCTGTTCTGCCTCTGCTCCCCCTCCCAGCGCGCTAGAAAGAGATATATTCCGGCCCCGGTCTCAGTAAGCAGTGCGCTGGGGAGGGGGAGCAGAGGCAGAACAGCCAGCTCCCCCTGCGGCCGCCAAGGGAGCTCCCCACAGCCCCAGGTAGACATTGTGTGTGTCAGTGTGAGTGTATGTGTGTGTGTGTGTGTGTCTGTATCATGGTGTGTGTGTGTCTGTGTCATGGTGTGTGTGTGTCATGGTGTGTGTGTGTGTCTGTCTGTGTCATTGTGTGTGTCTGTGTGTCTCTGTCTGTCATGGTGTGTGCGTCTGTGTCATGGTGTGTGTCTGTGTGTCTCTGTCTGTCATGGTGTGTGCATCTGTGTCATGGTGTGTGTGTGTCTGTCTGTGTCATGCAATGTGTGTCTGTGTCATGGTGTGTGTGTCTCTGACTGTCATGGTGTGTGCGTCTGTCTGTGTCACGGTCTGTCTGTGTCACGGTCTGTCTGTGTCATGGTGTCATGGTGTGTGTGTTTGTCATGGTGTGTGTCTGTCTCTGTCATGTAATGTGTGTCTGTGTCACGGTGTGTGTGTGTCTGTGTCACGATCTCTCTGTGTCGTGGTGTGTGTCTGTGTGTCATGGTGTGTTGTCTGTGTCGTGTGTGTCTGTGTCACGGTCTGTGTTATGGTGTGTGTGTCAAGTTGTGTGTGTCTTTTTTAAGGTGTGTCTGTCATGGTATGTGTGTGTCTCTGTCATGGTGTGTGTGTGTGTCTGTCTGTGTCATGGTGTGTCTGTCTGTCATGGTGTGTCTGTGTTTCTGTCTGTGTCACGGTGTGTGTCTGTCATGGTATGTGTGTGTGTATGTGTGTTTTTACTCACTTTTTTTTTTTTTCACGTCGTGCTGGTCTCCCCTCAACTGGCCCTGCCTCTACGGCTGAGATCATCAAGCTTGATGATCTCAGCCAATCCGCACTGACACAGGAAGCAGCTCTAGTGACCGTCTGAGTGTCTGTCACTAGGAAG